AAATTGATCAGCGTGAAATAGATCTCAAAAAGTATAAACAAGAAGTATGTATGAACAAAACTCCTATTATTATAGAAATGTGTCTTTGCTGTTTTTTTTTTAAATATGTCACCTGGTTCTTTTTACTTCATAGACGGGTTAAAATGTGACAGATAGGAGGCAAACAGGTCTAATGTCCTAATTTTAATTTTAAAGGGATTTTACGAAATGATAGCAACATTATTCAACCATTGCAAAATTTAAATTTTATGGCTACATTTTTTACAGAGATAACACTTTAGTGTATATAACCTTGATCTGGTATTACGTCAGAAATATTCACCAGCAGAGTTGTAATAACTATTTAATTTATCTCTCATAAAATTGCTTTTTTTTAACTTAATTAATTATTACTTAATTTACTATTTTGTTATTGTTTACATCTTTGCCAGGGTAAGGCACCTTTTCAGTTGGTCTTTTTACTCATAAGAAAAACTGTAAATTCTAACATAAAATTAGCAATACCTCTTATAAATTATATTTAAAAATTATATTAAGATCTCGTAAACTAAACAACAGTGCTAACAATAAAAAAAAACTAACAACGAAAGAAAATACTTTTGGTATGGATTTTCAATCTTTGCCGCTTATCTCCTGAAAACGACTTCGTACGAATCAATGTGGTAGGTGATTATACATCTTTTGCACTCTACTTTCAAATATTGTTGTTAAAAAAATCTTAACTTTACTTGTTTTTGAGATACCGGTGGTGGACCTTTTTATCGCGGTTTTTTAAGCCCCGCTCTACTCTATTTGCTAAATCTGTTCAGAATTTATATTATTTGGAGAATTAAAAGCTTTAAGGGGTTATTTAGAATTGACAGAAATATTTTTATTTTATTTCCAAATTTTAAGTAATAACAGAAATTGAGCAAATTATTAGTAGTACGCATATTAAAATGTTAAAATGAGATATCTGAGAAAACCACATAATTATTTTCTCTTTGTCATTAATTAGTGATTAAATGCTATTGTGGTAGCATTTTATATTCTATGTATGAATGTAAACATAATGAAATCAAAGTGACGTAAAGAAATAAAGCATCTGCATAATCAACGGTGATTGCTAGAAATTTATAGCTTCTAGCTATAAATACGCATAAGAATATACGTGTAACCAGTCGACAAGCTATTACTAAATCAAAAGATAAATGATTTTTAGAAGCCATAAAAAATTTCACTTTCGTTTAGAGAATTAAATCGTCAACAAAGAAGAGCTTATCGATGTTGAACTACGAGAACAAAATATAAAAAAAAACTCGTTCTTTGTTCTACATCTTCGCATTTCGATTATCTTTGTAGGAGTAATTCACATTCTACGGCATCTTTCGCAAATAGCTTTAAGACAATAAATCTTCGAGTCGGCTTCGAACGCGATACCGTTACTGGAGTGTATTCATAACGATATTGGTGTTTTATACAAGAGTTAAGATCTATCACGGCGTTTGCTCAGTGGGCACACGTACTCTATTGCTAATCATCGTATTTATTGTATCGGACGGACCTCTACTCTTGTAATAATACCTCGAGACGAGCAGACTGCAAGGCGCTCTCAAACGTCGGCGGCGAAACTAACTCCGGCGAATAGAATAAAATCATCACCTGCAATTGTTATGCGGTGATTAATTCGAATACGCAGAAATTCAACATTTCTACTCATTTTTGATTGAATAATTAATTAAATAAATTAAATCAAAAGTTATGTTTGTTGATTCTCGGAAAACATTCATTAACTGCGCGAAACTAAAAGAGAAAGAATTATCTATATGATATAACCAAAAAACCTAACTCTAAATCTGCCACCTAACCATCGTCATAATAAAATTATTTCTTGGAGTTCCATATCGTACTTGGATTTTCATATCGTACATACCACTTTAATAAAAATTTCAAGATTTATAGAAATAATGAGTTAAGATTTATAGAATATGGATTAATCAAAGAGTGGAATAGTTTATTGTCGCTTCTGTTTGATTTAATTTTAGTACATAATTAATAAAAAATATTTTTGACAGCCGTAGTGAAAGAACCCTAACTCATTTATTTAATATTAAATTTAGAGGTGTGTGTTATAGTTTCAGAAAAGATATACTTAATTTCTTGACTTTGGAATCGTAAAATAACGAAAGCAAACTAGAAACTGACTTTTTCTATTTGCATAGATTTATTGCCGATCAAAATAATATACATTTTTCAAGACAATATGCTGGGTGTAAATACATTTCCAAGATTACAAGATCTCTTTTTTTTTTATTTTTTGACATTTTACTTAAGATCGTATGGCCATTTTTTTATCAATCTTCGAGTAAGAGATTTCTCGCTTAATTCTTTTTAATATTTATTTAGACTCCTTTAAAAACTGACTTGTTCATAAAAATTAATTGATAACGCAACATGACACTAAATGTTTCCCCTGAGCTGTTATGTTGGTTTTTAAGTAATTCAGAGACGCTGATTCCAAGAAAGTAATAGAACTTTGCTAACAGCTGTAGTTTTTGAAATATACAAATGTGCTAGTATTACCAAAATCAGAATACAACACATAATTTATTTTATGCCTTCAAAAGTCTGTTTTTATAATTTTTGAGCCATCAGATGGATGTCCCGCCTCCCTTGATATTGCTCCTCCCAAGTCCTGGTTTTCTTCCCGATTTTATTCGTAGAGTTTTCGAACCGTGATTTTTTTATGTGTTACATAATTTTGAACTATACGAATATATCAGTTTTTAACTCTTACTGTCTTCTCTTTTAACGTTGGTCTCTTAATCCATCAAATGGTAGATGGAATGTTTTGCTGTTCTAGGTTGATCATTATTAGCATGTTTATGGGCCGTGTAGCTGATCATAAGTAAATCCCAAAACTAGCTGGTCATGATGTATGGCCATTTTCTTTTATTGCCCGAATTTATTCTATTGATATTTACCACACAGAAGAAACAGTCGTCGTGGTGATTCTGAGTTTTTTTTCTAAATGACGGGGGAAAAATACAGTATTTTTTTTCCTTTTGGGCAATTGGGCTGACTTTTCGTTTCGCTCGTTCATATGCTCGACGCTCGCTCACTATTTCTTCTGTAACTCCGAAATAATCTGATTAATTCTGAAATTTTAGGGATATACTCTTGGCTAGTTTTGGAAGACATTTTTGCAAAATAAAATCGATTTTTTTAAAGAAAGATGTAATTCCTGATAATTTTTATTGAAATAGTTGAGAATCTCTGCAAAAAGGAGCCCAACCTTTCGTAAATGCTCTTCATTATTCCGCTATCGAAACTCCGGCCATGAGCGCCGGTTTGTGAGAGATCGGCCCGTACCACCTACTGATATTGATAACGTGCGTTTAAGCAATACTCAGTTTTGCTTTCTGTGGGTGGTTTGTAATTTATAATAGGCTTGTTGGATACGCGTCCTTATGCTGTTAGATTGACCCGCACCATAAAATGGAAATTTTAGGAAAGCCATCTATTTGACCCTTTACCAAATAACACTTGCACAGCTGTAAAAATCAGAGTTTTAAACTTTTGTTGTGTGAAAGTTCTTCTATTTGATTATTAGTCATTGCATAATTGAAATCCGTAATCTACTTCGTTTTATAGCTTAATTTCTCTATAATGCGTATGCATTTTTTATATCCACTTCGCGAAAAAGCTCTAGCTTGCTCATACTTTACATACATAGTCAAATTGTATACAAAAAATTCAATTCACTTCGTTCTCCACGAAGATGAAATTTGATCAAACCAAATAAGATATATAAAATTTAATAAAACTCCTACACCCGCTGTTTAACTACAAATACAGTGAGATAGAGAAACAGGCAATTAAATAATATCAAACGAAACTCGTAATTTATGAAACGATTCTGATATAAAATATTTAACTATAAATAATAATAGGTGCATGGTACTATATCAGCTAGTTAGTATAGTCCATATGGGTCCGTGAGCTTAACCGTTTCACCATAGAACACACTAAAAGTATTTGCCATAGTATTTCTTCATTAAATATTAGAGTTGTCTAGGTCTGTTCCTTATTAGTTTCTATAATATTTTATACGTATTTTTTTAAATAATCAGCAAATATATAGTATATTACGACCACGTTGTGATATGTATTACTATACTTACTATATACCTTTACATTCATTACATGGCTTACATAATCTATATGTTAATTGTAAAATTGCAAAAACAGCATGAGCAAGCGATGTGCAACTAAAAGAGGAATAAACTCTATATCTATATATCACTCCAAGAAATTAGTAAATAAATGTACACTATAATCTTCTGATTCCAAGTATTCAAGATCATATATAAAAATCATCAAATATAAATTATCGCACTCTAAATATGAAATATATGTTATATATAGAATTAAAAAAATTAGCCACTGCCATCGTAATCACATTTTATCGCTGTACCTATGACTATCTTATTTAAAATTTCACGCGTCATTCGTGTTATAAATTTTATAATGTAGTACTAATACTAAGTTGCGCCTTGTTTTCCTCACCATCGCAAAAACCATTATTACCTGTTCCCATCCCTCACTTTTTACTGATCGATGTTACGTATAGCTGTAACCTTAACTACTGGATATTACAAAGCACAATATTTCCTGATTTGCTTCTTAGCGGCTCTCGTTGGCCCGATAGGTGTGCTCGTATTATTCAAGCCGCTATATAATCTATTATCGTTGTTGTATCACGAAATAAACAGATTCAATTCGTTCCGACTTTAAAACTTAAAAGCTCGAAGGCGCGATATGGAAAACCTGTACGAAATTTTATGCTAAGGCTTCACTTTTAAAGTCAGCTACAAAGTCATTTTCATTTTCTGTGCACCATGAACTTAAATGGCGCTAGTTATCGGTATGTGTTACAAATTAACACGTATTCATAATGAGAATTAACGAAGACATTAATTTTATTACTGTATAATTAAATATTTTTATTTGTTTTGCAGATATGGTAAAACGCGAACATGGGTAATAGCGGAAGCCACAATTCAACTTTAGCAGAGCAACAACTACATCAGTCATGGGCGCATTCATTTCCGAGAGATTTGCAACGAACTTCGCAATTAAAGGTAAAGATTACAATTAGTACATGGAGATTATATTATCATATATAGGGTAGGGCGGGGCAAGTTGAGCAATCGAAATATCTCGAAAACTATTCACCGTCCATTTAGGCATTATATGGCGGAAAGATAGAGGTTTGGGAGAAATAAACATCCCGCGATCGCTAGTGGCCGCTGGACAAATGAGTGAGGCTCACGGGCGTTTTGTTTATTTGAGACCAAAAAGTAAAAAAAAGTAATTCATCAGGAGTTTTCATCTGGTTTAGTCAAATGTTATTTATTTTTAATCAGGTAAATGTTATTTTTCCATATAATTATAGTACATTTAATATGCACAGAGATCCTGGGTATAATTCTCACGGTTTTTTTTATAAACTCACTTTCATTTTGAAATTCCGAGTTGGGGTTAGTTGAGCATAGTGGCTAAACTTGTTTTGTCACTAAGACAATTACCATTAACTTCCTGATATTAAGTATTATTTTTAAGATTTAAGCTAACTCTATGAGTAATATTATAAAGAAATAATGATTTTAAACAGAAATACTGAATATAATGGTAAAATAATTCTTAAGATACGATATTGTTTTGTTGATTCTACTTTTCGTTAGTTATTCAAAGCAAATTACTATAAGTTTTGTTTTCTCTGTCAATAAAGACTATAAATATAGAACTGGTTATTAAAAACTTATTTTATTTTATCACTAATTGACATTAAACCTATGATTTCATTATACTTTCTTGGTGCTTAACTTGCCCCACCTATGGGGTACATTGAGCATACTTGACTTTTTGCATTTAAACTGCTGTAGCATTTAAATTTTACTTATTACCAAAAAATAGTATTAACACTTTTGTTAAGCGATAAACAACAAATCCATTAAGCCGTATAGGAGACTTTTCATTGAGGAGCTACATCTGTTTAAGTAAAAATTTGCTCAACTAGCCCGGCCCTACCCTACCTGCATGGAGATCATATGATCATGTGTGATTTTCTTTAATTCAACTACTTGTTGTAATTATGTATTCATTATCTTTAAATATATTTCATAAATTTAAGGTGCTTCCTGATTTAGACGGTGGCGCTAGACTCAGGGTAACTAACAATGGAAATATATTACATTCTGGTGGCACAATCAGTGGCAGGAGAGAAGGAGGCGTAAGTATTGAGCAATATTTCATATATTCAATAGATGAATTTATCTATTTTATAAAACTTTTTTACAAATCTGCAGACGAGTGTGCACAGATCACGCAGCGTATCATCACAGCACCACCCTCATGTGCCGTCATATCGTGATCCTCTGCACCGTTCTCAGAATCATCTCAACCTGCATGGATCTGGTAGCTTTGCGGCTCAGGCCAAGCGATTCGGTTCAGAGCCCGATTTGCGCATGAGTAATATTGTAGAAGAATACAATGCCGGGGCCAGGCATCGAATATCCCGAGAAAAGAAAAAGAAAGGCAAAGCGCCGCCGCCTCCAACTCAAGAGTCATCTCCGGATTCAGATAGGTTTGGACGGAAGGGCCAAATCGAACCGGTCTCAGATGCTCCAAGAAAACTACGATTATTCAAGACGCGTGCCGAGTCAAAGACAAATATTAAAAAAGATTATTTGCAATACGATATTGGAAAACGAGAGTTGGACAGGGAAGACTTTATTCCAGCTGAAGAATATGATAATTATGATCAAGACGCGTTTTCCCGGAATGATTTACGAAGAAAAATCTCAAATGAAGAACGACGTAAAGAATTAAATGAACGTAGAAGATCTTCACAAGAAGAGCGAATGAGGATATCACAAGAAGATAGTAAAAAATCTATTCCAGAAAATAGAAGACGATCTTCGCAAGAAGATTTTAGAAGAGCTATAGTAGAAGAAAGAAAACAGTTTGAGGAATTACGAATTTTACCCAAAGATGACGTTAAAAGAATCGTTCCAGATGAACGTAAACGAACTTCTAGAATGGATCTTAGGAGGATACCTCGTGATGATCATAAAAGGCGAGAAAGAGAATCGCGCAGTCAAGATAGATTGACGAACGACTTTATAAAAAGTGAGAGAGAAGATAAAGTTTGGAAAATGCCCGAATTTGAGATCGCTCGACCTGAATTCAGACGTCAAAAGTCATTTGATCATTCTCTTTACGGAGAAAAATACAATTCCAAAAATGATTTAAACTTTGATTCTAATGGCAAATTCCGAAGCTCACTAGAAAGTAATGCCATTGTAAAAAATAATACAAAACATATCGAAGGAATAACAGCGAAAAAAAATATTTCTAATCTCATCCCGAATAATATAGCAAGCACGGAATTTCAGAAAGAATTAAAACTAGCAACGAAATTGAGATGTACAAAAGCTAATGACGAACACATAGTAGAATCTGATAAAGTAACCAAACAGTCGTCCGATGCAAAAAATAAAAGTAAATTAAAGACAATGGATTTAGCGAATAGAAAAAACATTAAAGACCAATATAAAAAGACTAGTGAATACTCAAGAGAAGAACAGAAAAATATTAAAAATGCTGAAATAAGGGGGCAGGCTTCGGGTAAGGAATCAACACCAGGAAACTCACCAAGTAGAATCGAACAGCAAAACAATTGGGAGAGGTAAAGTAATAATACTATTGTTGTATTTGATTAAACATTTTGTTAATGGTTATTTCTTTTAAATTATTATATGAAATATAAAATTATCGTTTTCAGTTCGCCCATAATAAAAGCGATACAAGATCGCCCTCCCAAAACATTTTACTTTGGTATGGACGAACAAGACAATAATAATTTAAGACCTGACGATGTCGTAGAGCAATTTGCAGCTAGTCTTATGCAGAAAAATCGTATTCATAGAATTCCAGGTAAATTTTATAATATATTTCAATTCTCATATATATTGATATGATATCATAAATTTTGCATGACGAAATCAGAGCAATGGTATACTTATAGCATATTATAATTAATAATTACATCTCAATGTTATATGGTTATCAATATTATCTAATTAGCATCTTCAGAATCGGCATTATCAAGTGAGGCTGAAGATGACTTGCAGCTAATGGAAGCAAATACTCACGGTTTAGATTTGCAATTGCGACCGACTTTACCCAAAAAGCAGTTGGAGATACCGCGGTTTAGTCCTGCGGCTGCTTGGAGGTTGCTGTCCAACATTGAGGGTCATGACGTATCACCTTTAGCTACTGAAGATGGCCCGGTAAGCTGATAATAGAAATATTCAAGTTGATTCATTTCTTTGTTATGTCTGATTCAAACATTATGCAAGTAATTTTAAAAATGTTTAGAATTTGCTGTCAATAGGTATTACACATCAATTTGTCAGTTAGTGTCAACCAGTAAACATTATTACTTGAAGTATACATGGGATGTGGTTAATGAATAAAATTTGATAGATTGGTATAAAATATATAATCTGTAATTAAAATACAAGTAAAATTAGATGATCTGCAAAGTTTTTTTTATGAAAAATTATGGAAATAAAAAATTGGACATACATTGTCATTAAAGTGATTGAGTTGATTATATTGATACTAATTGATAGATTATAACAAAAATGTTTTTTTATTATTTTTTTAGATATTGGAAGACAGGATCGAAAGATTGCCTAGAATAAATCAAGCAGGTCCGCCCCACGACAATAAAAGTGGTGACAGCGGAATATCTGGTGATGCGGGACCAGTCGACATAACGGATTGTTCCAGATCGCAGCACATATCAAAGAATATGGTGAGTTAAAGTTAAATGAATATACACTTTTACTTTTAACTGCCGCAGTAATTTTAAAAAACCTGCTGAGTTAATAAACTTTATTAAATCCTATAAGGATTTGAACAATTATATCGTTATAGACATCATCATATCCACTAAATGTTCAGATTGAGAAATTAAACTAGTAGTGCATCATGGCATTGTGTCTTAAAACAAATTGTTAAAACCTTCTGTACTAGAAAGAAAGAAGCATAAAGATTTTTTTTAAACTTAATAAAATTAGATTTTTGAGAATTTTGAAAAAATTAACCTTTTAGATACATTTGTTTTTTTATCTTGATTTTTTTTCAAATTTTTTAAAAAAAATTTAAAGCATTCGCGTTACGTAGCTATTTTAATGACAAAATATCAAAGCGCGTAAGCGCCGCGTTGCAGTTTAACGGATAAACATTGATACCCATAGAAATCTAAACAAAATTTGTCTTATTATTAAAATTTCTATAAAATAACTGATAATTATAGATGTGCATATGTCTAATGATTATTTTTGACCGCCAAAATGGCATGATTTTCACTTTTTTATTAGATCTCCGAAACCGCTAGGCTTGCCTTCCCAAAAATTTAATCAGTTCTTAATTTTGTCATTACATATAAATAAAATGATTTTTAAATCATTACATCGGACGCGTCGTTATCTCAAAAACTGAATTATCATGTCTTATACTTTTTGCCCCGTAACTTCGAAACGGCTGGACCTGCCTCTGCCAAAATGTAATCAGCACGTCTCCCCATTAATACGAATCTATTGTTTTTGCATTATTCAGTTCGCAAAATAGTCGACGAATATTTATCCCAACACACACATACATTTTTTTTTTCTAAAGCATGCCAAAATGTTCAGAAACCTTTGGAACGTAAAGACATTAAAAATTTTCATTTTCGATTTTTTTTTTTTGAATTACTATAACTTACCCTACGGGAAATTAGTACTATTCTAAGAATCTGATATTATTTTCTTTGGTAGAAATTAGCCGTCAGCTATCCTACGTAAATAATTTGTATTAAACGTTTTCCAATAAACGTATTGGGGATATAAGAGATGACTACGAATCTCATTGACCAACAACAAATCATTTGCAATATATGTTTACATTACAAACAAAATAATTCACTTCTCGAACTGACTGCACGTTTGCCAAACTTTGTGTTACGTGTTCGTTTATCAATAAACTGAGGAATCATGTCAAATATCTAATACTTATAATTAATAAAGTGTTATTTATCTCGAGATGATCTTTCTCCGTTCGGTCGGTTTCTCAATCCAATTGATTCCAATAATAATTTATTTTTTATTACACTTTTCGCAGAGTATCATCTACGTATAAATTCCACGATTGCAAGTTATACAATAGTTTGAGAGAATATGCAATTATTGGAGCATGTTAATAATGATTTATAATCGTTGAAGCAATAATGATTTATTCGTTAATAAACCGGTAGCGGCTATAATCGTTGCACAAATTAATTGTACCAAGATTAACCTGTGCAGCTAGCATGGCCGGAAAATCATGTTTAACGAATCTTAAAATTAATAAGTGATCTTTTGAGGAGAAAATAATAAAACAGTGCAATACAATAGTGATAAATCCATTAGATAAAAAACTAATTTGATAAATTGATATCATAGTCATAAAAACAATTTTGAAAATCCAACTAGGTAGTTAATCTTTAGGAAGCGATATTTTAAATCCTTATTCTTTTTTATATAATCTGGGATTCCGTAAAATGTACACATTTTTTTTAGCTGGTGAAATTATTAGTGAAATTACTTATCTAATCATAATCCATAAAAAAAAAATTAAGGAACTCAAAACTTCAATTTTAAGCAAAATTTAAGGTATTTTTAGTATACCCTAACTTGCACAATTTGAAATTTCTTGATCTCACCTTTTCGTATTTACTACTAGTCTCGCAGTTTTAATGATACGTGTTTATAAATATTATGATCTGGGAAATATCAGCAATTTGCTTTAAAACACAATGCCACACATGAGAAGCTGAAAATAACGACCTATTTAATGAGCTTCTCGGATATAACTGTTCTTTTTCCTAATCTTTCAATTATAGTACTGTTTGCCAAGACCATAAATTGGTATTTTGCTTCAAAAACTAGATTTTTAACAAAATGTTCGGGAACCGAATTTGAATTTTTACTATATGTAGTGATGATTACTTTTGTTTATTGAAGTGAAACAACTTTATTGCTTTAGCTTTTTTATGTTATTATGCTGATAAAAAAAAAATTATTATGCCAATTCTAAACTTTTTTTAAATAAAATAATTTTTTAAGGGTGTCTTCTGAGACTAGTAGGACTATTCTATAGAAAATAGACTATAGTCATCTGATATTAGTATATTTATTATTATTGAGTGGCATAATATATATTTCAGATGAGCACAGTTCGACCTGTGCTATCGGCCTGGACCCCGCAGCAGGATTTAGGAGAAGAAAGCAGTTCAGACGGCGGATTAGACAGCCAGCAATCTACTCCGACTAAAACACCAATTGGAGTTTCTTCTAAGGCCCATGTATTTAGCCTATCTTTGCCCAGGGAGAATCACATAGCAGCTTACACTGACAAGGTCGGTTCTTGGAAATATCTTTTGTATTAGATATTGATGTGATATTTTTTTTTAATGTTTTTATTCTGCGATTTGTTCATACAAAACAATGAATAGCGATTGTTAACATGTGTACGAAAACGAATATATTTAGATTAGATATTAGTCTAGCGATAAGTTATTGGTAATTATCTAATACCTAGAATGTTGTTTTGCCTTATTCATAACGCCATTCGACATTAGTTTTCTTCAATCGATCATGATACTATACCGAAACCGAAATTAAATACTGATATTTGATTTCAGAACAAACAGCCCTACAATAGTTTGCAAAAAATTAAACGTTCCGTTTCTGGAGCATTGAATGGTGTATTGTCGGCTCAGAGACCAGCCAGCGACAATCCGAGCGGCGGGTCAGTTGGCAATAACGGATCTGCTAACTGGTACTTGAGTCGATCGGCACCTACAAGTCTGGACAACGGTCAAATGTCTCCGGCACATTTGGACAAATCTAGTGAATCGCCATCCGATCAGGTAAGGTTTAATCATTGGTTTTACCTAATGCTTTACTTGTTAATTGTTACAATAGTGTTTGAACCAAAACATGAGCTTTCAAGGGAAAAACTACTTATTTGCGATTATTCAATGCTTTAAAATCGTAAAATTAATGGAAATTTCGCTAAATTTCTACATCTCTAGATCTCAACAAAATCTTGCAAAAAATGTTCTAAATTTAACAAATTAAGATAACACTTTTATAACAAATGATTAATAAAGAGCATTCAGTGAAGATGAGGTCGATTATACGTATAAATTCAAATAAAAAAATGAAACTTTTTTTATTACTCTTTGAACTCCTGGACAAGTAATCGTTATCCTCTAGCCTTTAACTTTATATCCAAGTAAATAATATTTCACTTTCTAATTATTAGGATGAAGACAATAAGCCTTTACCTCAGAGGCCGTTCAGTTACTTATCTAATCATGTAATGTACCTGCCAATGCTACAAGCATCAAATATTCAAGAGCAAAAAAGCAAACTACGAGCTTATAAATCTTTGGAGCCCGATGTAGATATTTGGAACAGCAACAATTTGGATAAAAATGAGAATATTTTAGGATATAATAAATTCCAGTACAATAACGAAAATATCGAGACCAAATATAATGAGAGAAAAAATTTCATAGAACAAGAAATAAGAACTAGAAATACAAACTACACAAATGTGGAGCCCAAGAAAACAAGGTAATATAGTTTCATTCTGTTTAGTATGTTTTTGTATTTTAGCAGGTTTCTTATAAAAATATAAAATTGTGTTTATACTATAGATGCTAAGAAACAAAACTCATTAAATAATTTAATACTAAATAAACTCAACAATCAACCAAACTTATATTATATGCTTATATTATTCATATTTTGGATTACTAAAATATTATTATTATTATAAATATAAATGTAAGTATATTATAAAATTATATTATTTTTAACAGAACAAAATCAAGAGAAGAACCAACATATACTCATCAAAAGTTGAATCAGAATTTTTCAAAATCGTGTAGTAATTTAACAAACGATTTGGAAGACCTTCAAGATCCGCCATCACAAAATCAAAAAAGTGAAAAACCAAAAGGTAAAACTAAAAAATTCACTTTCCAAAGCACAGTTCGACAAATCGAAAGAAAAAGACTGGCAGAAAAATTGTCAAGGGAAGCAGAGCAAAAAGAACAACAGCGCTTGGGCGAGCTCGAGGCTATGAGAAGGCAAGTTTCCAATATAAACAAAGATATCGTGAAAAGATCTTTATTAATATTACTTATTAGTAGTAATATTATTGATATTCATACTACTTATTAGTTCATGGTGGTATTCTACAGATAAATAATTGGAAATTTTTATTTTCAAGAAGGATCATACTGTGTTGCTACATGGTTGAACGTCGATTTAACTTTTGGTTTACCGAAAAATGTAGAATTTGATGAGATTATTTTTGATTGTAGCTGTTTTTTCCATCTGTATTGCGAATTTTCTCATTTCATTTAATTTTTAAGAAACTTACCAAAAACATAATTAGTGTCGAATTAAGTGAAATAACCGATTAAATGCTTCTATAAATAAGTTTTACTAATAACACATTTCCAATAATATTCCTTACAATTTAATATTATTTTTATTTAGATTACAATAACAATCTTATTTATATTTGTAGAGTTGAAGAAGAATTTCAAAAGAAACGAGCGCGGGAAAAGGCTTCAATCCGTCAGCAATTAAGAATGTACAATTTGGGAGACAAAGAATCAAATAGTGTATCAGCCACTTCTAGTCCAGTAAGAAATTTTATAAATTTTTGAGACTAATAACTCTATTTTAATATTTTTTTTTTAAATGTTACTTGATTATGTTTAAGTTGCATAAATGTCATTTATAATAAAAATTTAAATTCTATTTTAGACGAGGGCAGAACCAGATGGGGCAGTTTCTTCTCCAGCACCATCACCACAAAACTCTTCAAGAGAACATTTTTCAAAGACATCACAAATGTATCATAATCAATCTCAAAATTCGAAATACATTGCTAACAATCTCAATACACAATATAATGATCGAAAGGATATTAAATATTCCAAATACAATGGCGATTCTGAAAAGAGTTCCTTTAAATATGAAAAGGAAAACAAAGTCAATAATAAATACGATGATCATTCAAGACATTACAAAAACATTGACCATGATTCTGGTAAAGAATATGGGAGGAAATACCGGGAAAAAACTGGATATGACCATCAGTCACCTTACATTTCAAAACTTGTTGAACAGAGATCAAGCCAAAGGCGAGGAAGGGAAAGAATGCCAACTACAGAGGTAATTAATTTAAAGATGTTGTAGATAAATTTATTTCGACTTTTGTCCAATAATGTAGCTTATTATTTTATTTAAAAACCAATATTGTTATTTTTTTGTCTTTTTACAGATTCTTTCAGAATTTCGTCAGCCTCGCAGAGAATACTTAGAATATAGAAGTAGAGGGGATTCACCAAGTACTCAGCAACTTATTCACCCGCAAGTTGTTGGTAATATTCCATCTTCTCGAAATCCTCAGGTAAAACATATATTCAATTTCATTTTGTAATCAAATAATTCAATTACTTAGTTATGAATTATATGAAAAAAATTGTTTTAATTTTGATTGTTCCTGGTAATTTTAAATTAAATAAAAATGTATTACTTGGAATTTGTAGATATACCATAATGATATTCCTACAACCCCTTTATCAGACAACTACCGCAAAGAATTCGCTCGCGGTAGATCAGTGGGCAGCTCTGACTCTGAACGATCTATGCCATCAGTAACTGCAAGGCAACAGCATAGATCGAGGTAAATTAATATTGCCATCACCAAAGACTTTATAATAGCACTTACCTTTTATACAACCATGTTCTCATAAAGTATAATATTACTTTAATAACTCTATAACGTCCTATTTCAACCCAAATTCACTTAAAACTTATTACACATTTCATGATTAGTTATGAGTATCGAAACATTTATACAGGATTTAGTTGGCTAATAAATTTTCATAATAAGAAAGTGATAAATGACACTGCTGAATGCACCAATAATCTTATTTATATTTTTTTTAAATTAAATTTCATAAAATGATGACAAATTTTAACCCAATCTTGTGATAATAACACAGTGTCATATACTTGCGTATTATTATTATACACAATATTTTACCATTTATTATTATCACCAACTGGCATTAATAATCATTACTTTTACAAACATACTATGAGATCCAATAAAACCTGAGATGCAATACTTTCAGCAAGTTGTTATCTATGTCTTTAAATCATCTTCACTAATAATATTATTCCGTAGTAGTTATCAGTTATTTTGAAGTATATTTAGTTTATTTACAGTCTCATTAGAACTTTGAATAACATTTGGTATATATAATGCATGATATTAATAATTACAGTAACAAGAATAATTATAAATCTGTATTCCTTTAGTGGTTGTAACACTGCGACAGTATATTTACATATTATATTTATCTAATAATAATCAATTTATTTAATTTTAGTTACCATGAGTTAAAATTTATTTAAACAAATGCTTTGTGCAGGTTTTTCTAAAAGCTGGTGTGGATTAGCTTATAATTATTATTAATCTAGTCATCATATTGAATTATTATTAAGATCCAGTAGAAGAAAAGTCGACCATTTTATATTTACATAGGTGGGTGATATATTTATTTCTTATATTTGCATTGTGCAGATTGCCATCAATGTGGTTTTGGATATGGAATGTACCAGGCAGCACTTTTTGTTGTTATTCACAAGTGTGATATGGCACCTTCAATTAGTGTTTGTTAAACTTACTTCACTTGCAATGAAATTAATTTTTAACTTATAATATTACTATTACTAGAGAATGCAATCATATTAAACAAATTGAAATCACAAATTTATTGATGTGCTAATGTTATGCAATCTCAAAAATATCGAGGAAGATATGGAATCAAATAGTCTGACTGTATTTATATGGAATGAGAATAATTACATTTTGCATAATTTATCAATGATGCGTACTGTGTTTAAATGTCCTGTGAATTCAAGGAAAATTCAGTGTTTGAATTAAAATTTCATGATATGCATTTCGGTAAAAATAATAATGATGTAAAACATACTTGGAGAATTTTTTTTTATTTTACTTTATAATATAATTAATATAAATACATATAACATAATATTTGGTAAAAGCTGCAAAAGGTGCAAATTTCATTTTTTATAAAAAAAATGAATAAACTGAGAAATTCATAAGTCACATTTTTCTCGCAAAGTTCCAAACAATTTATTTATATATTAACAGAAATACTAAAGAACTAAAATAAATATGCTCACTAATTGTGGGAGCAGCATAATAGTTATAGAAACCCATTGTAACAAGATTATGGTATATATAAAAAGTGTAGTCACTGTCCACGCAAGTGCTTTGAACTACTATAATAAGAGTGAGCATATGAATTACCTGCAGTTATTGTAATTGAAATTTATAATTTGTGCTTTTCTGCATTTCTTCTTCACTTTCAGTTCAACTTTCATGCACTTATATACAACATATCGAAAGCAAATGGTTATAAATGTTTAACTCAATAAAAAAAACAAATTATACAAATGCATGCGATCAATGTGGGTATTTTGAATAATTCACTTATATATATATATATATATATATATATATATATATATACATACATGGAATAAACATGTCTAACATCACTTACACACATGTAATAAATTGTATCAATTATCTTGTGCATGTTATGCATGTGCTTTTGTTGGTTATAATTTGGTTATTATAAATGTTTATTATTATAAATTATAAATATGTAATTATCATAATAGGTCCGCAAGTCCAGATATTTCTAGAAACGATGGCTCATACACTAATTCAGATGGAGCATCAACTGGATGTAGGAATGTAAAGAGCCGTAATGCTGTAACCCGTCGAGTGAGTTGCAATAGTAACCAAGATAGATATATGAATGATGATATAATAGTGCCCATGTTCAAAAAGAGGCCTAGTTTGCTTCTTTCTGGTATCACAGATTTTGGTCAAAGTCACACACTTCGTCCTTAAATCTGTATGTCTAGTATATCAACGTAGTTAATAATATGTTATTTATACAGACATAGGCACTATAATACAGATCAATTATATATATATATATATATATATATATATATATATATCTGTGTGTGTGTAACAAAAAGAATTGGATGCTTATGCATCATGAAATATTATGAATTTAGAATTTAGACCAAAACAATATGAAAATATAACATATTTAGATAGTCATATTATTATAAATTAAATTTTAGTTTGTTAGAAACATATTGTAATGATAACATAGTATTTATCAAACTAATTGTATATATAAGAAGTGCCTGCAAATAATTTACCATAATCTGTATAAAAATAATTACAAAATAGCAATATAACTAATATATAACTATTATTTAAAACATTTATCAGTGCAATTATACTTGTACATATATTTTGTCATATATATTATCAGTCAATGATCGAACCAAATGTTATACAAATGGTTATGGGAAATTGTAAAAAAATATTATTTTAATAAATATATCTTATGTATAATAATCACAATATACTATTACTTTTAAATGTTTGCTAAATTCAAACAAAAATTATAAGTAAATCGTCAATCAAGAATGTTGTTAAAACAACCAAACCAAACCTTCGGGCACAGCTATCAACATTTAACAATCATCATGGTAGTGCAAAATACATATCGTAAGATGCAGAGACAATTCATGTTGATCATTACATAATTAAATTTAAACTTGAACTTAATAACGGATTTAAATTAAATTAAAGTACTTTAACAATGGAAAATTGTAAATTCCTATAGAACAAAAAAAAAAAACAAAATGAATCTAGTACATATTTATAATAAACGGATAATTAACAAACAAAGTCTTCATATATTTTAATTAACATATTTTATATGCAATGTTATCATATTTACTCAAAATATCAAGTCCGTATACAAAATACTGTGCAAAATGCGTGTAACTCAACACATTGATATATCATAACATAAAAGCATACCATAGTCTCATCAGTAAAATTGTTACATTCTTCGTTATAATATTTATTGAGCATAATTATTTTATTATTTGTATATTTGAAAATATTGATCACTAGTTTGTATCATTTCTTCTATTATAAGATTAAAAATAAAGTGCTTTTAATTATTTTGTGCATTATATTAAAATCTATTTTTAAAAATAGATTAGAATATAGAAGTAGAGGGGATTCACCAAGTACTCAGCAACTTATTCACCCGCAAGTTGTTGGTAATATTCCATCTTCTCGAAATCCTCATTTTGTGCATTATATTAAAATCTATTTTTAACTATCTGCAGAAATAGTTATATCATTCCAGATAGAAAAATTGCAGCAATCTTATAATTGAATATATTACTATTCTGATTGAATGTCATTATTATACTTAAACTTTTCATGATTTGCAATTTAAAGTATTCTAGTGTTTCAACGAATTGTTACCACTCAATTATAATTTGAATAGTTATTGTTCTATTCTTAATATTTGAACTTTCTTTGACTTTAGTAATGCCTCAATATACGTATCATCTATAATACTTAGGTTCATTCAGTAACTTTAAAATTACTTAGTTAGAAATAATTTACTACATCCTAATGTTCTACAAATAGTTGTGCAAAAATGTTATGTCTGCAGAATTTTCAGTAATATTGAAATAGTGACAACTCATATAATAGGTATGCATATTTTACCTGTAAAATATTTAATACACACTTGATCATCGTTGGTATTGTATATTTGAAATGTAGTATATTGATCATGAACAGCAGATTATTATATTGTTTAGGCAGCAGATGGAGCAAACTTTTTGATCTTTTTTTATTTTATTATTATTTCTATGATCAATTAATTCATTTAATAACTTTTAAGTTATTTAGTTAGAAATAATTTACTATATACACCTAAAGATCTACAAATACTTGAGCTAAAATGTATAAAATAGGCATGCATGTGTATGGTCATCTGAGAATACTACATTTAAAAAAACACACACACTTACCTTTAAAGTATTTATTACTCACTCGATAATTCTTGATATTTCATATTTGAAAAACTAGTGTAATGATCACGAAGAGCAGATTGTGTTGTTGAACCAACTTTTTTTACATTCAATTGTTTAAGATCTATCTTCACAATTCAAATATAAGAAATAGAAATCTAATTGAGAAAAATAAATAATCCACCAAGTAATGCACTGCCAAAAACGAATGATAACGAATTTGACAGCTTTTTGACAATAATAAAAACACATGTGAAGTGCGTCACGAGTGCGAGTTCTTCAGTTAAGGTTGGTCAATATAGGCGGAGCTACATTTTGCGCAATTTTGCGATTATGCACTGTCTAGAATGCGATGTATGATTAATATTTAAACCAAAAACATATTGTATAAATTTGAAAAAATATATATCTTATTTCTGTGACTAACGACTATGTGACCAGCCAGCGGAAATTCGTACGCATTAATATGCGCCAACTTCAAAATAGTCTTTCAAGAATTCTTATTATTTCATTCCTCCAGGTTATCGTCCTGCATCAAGATGGTCAACTAAAATTTTCTTTTCATCCGTCAGTTGACAATTTTCTAAATAATGGACCAAGTGTATGATATAAGTTCATCATCCATAATAGATTCGAGTGACAATGATAGCTTAGCTAGATGTAGACCAAATAATTGTGAATTAAATCCTCATAATCGTATGAATATAAGTTCTGACGAAAATGGTACCTGGAGCTGTGACAAAGTAATAAATTTCGTCGATGCTAATTTTGACATTGATGGTGTAGCAAAACTATGTGACACTATTGAAAAGAGTATTAGTGAAACATTACCAGTTAAATCATCCGACAAATCTAGTGATGAAAAAATCAGGTTTGGTTAATTTTATTAAATAATAATTTTTTTTCATTTCTTCTATTATATTGAGAAATCAGTGATACTATAAATTTTGTAATTTGTAAACGCGTTTTGTCATGTAAATTACATAAGATTTAAAACCTAGGTACTGTGGAGCAGAGGTGAAATCTGACTTCTTTATTTTATTAGCTAATGTCAAATAATTTTATACGAACAATATATATATATATATATATATATATATATATATATATAAACTTCCGCAATATCAAATTACATTTATATTTAATACTATATTACTATTTACATTACATCATTGTTTATTACTATATTACTAATATCTTCACACCATGTATTAAATTTATATTTAAGAAATTCTGTTATATTTAGAAATTCGCTTTTGACAGATGCATCGTTTAAATCACCGTTTAAATAAAATACCTGTGTAAGTGAAGACATAATGCCAATAAAGTTAAATGTCTGTTTATAATTCTTGTAATATGCTGAATACTTCTCTGATTGCAGTCGAAAAGAAATAAGAACAATGATTTTTTGTTGCAATGATTACAAATTATAATAAAATCTTTTAACCCCTCAATTTACAATGAGAAGCACAGCCCGCGTACGATTGCTAGGCCAAACGTAAATATTACGGGCATATCCCGCGAACGATAATCAGACTAGAAACAAATATTTTGCATTAAGGGGGTATTCTACTGTAGAATTTTAAAAAAATCGATTTTTTTTTCATATTTTCAAAGTTTAGTTATTCAAAAATATGTCATTGAAAGGATTTTTTAAAATTACTATTATTTCCTGAGTTATATCCGTTTTAGTGACGTGGCCTCGGTTCGGGTCCGACTTGTCTCAAAACTTTGAACGCGTTTTTCTCGGAACTACTTTTTTCGAGCTGGCGGTAAGGATATCTCGAGTTCTAATGAACCGATTTACTTCAAATTTGGAGAGGATCTTCTCTATATATCGCTTTATCGCATGGACCTTATCGCATGAATCCCAAAACTATAACTTTTCATTTAGTATTTTTAAAAAATTCGGAATTGTTAAAAAAAAAAACATGAAAAAAATTTTTTTTTTCAAAAACTGCTGCCATTCAAACAAAATTTTTTTTTAACTTATCCAAGGTTCATACGATAGCGGCATCTATAATAATTAAGAATCCATCTATTTTTTATGTTTTGGATCACCAGGAGAGTTGGAATCATGCACGCCAGGACACCCTCTTTTTTTTTTTGAGCCCCCACTTTGACTGCTCATAACTTTGTGAATTCTAATTTTTTTTCTTTAATAATTTTTTTTATGTAATAATAAAATATCAATAAACAAATGATAAAAAAATCGATAGTAAAAGTATTATTTGTTTCCTTTATAAAGCGCTTCAAAAACCGGGCAAAATTCATGCTTCTACAGTAGAATACCCCCTTAAAGGGCCGTGCCTGGGTATGTGGCCGCCTGCGTGCAAGCATATGTATGGCACCGCCCTTGAAGACATAATAGCAAAATATCAATTATGTTCTCACGAAAAAATCGGTTTGTAATTTTTATGTTTTTTCGACATTTCAAGTCATTCTAAATCGTTTGAGACAAAATTTGATAAAAAAGTGTGCATATGAGCCGGTTTTTGACTTTCACCAATGTTTTCTCAAAAACGGTTAAATCGATTTCAAAAATTAGAGTGATTTGATGTGACTAGGTAAAGACTAGCGTCTGTCAGTTTTGTGCAACAATCGGCCAAGCCATTTTTAATCAACGGAAAATTTTGTACACGTTTTAACTAAAAATCCTGCATCGATTTTAAAAATTCAGAAACTGTTCGAAATATATCATTTGGAAATCGTGCTGATTAGTTTTGAGAGATCGGTCGGGTCGTTGTTTTGTATGTACTTGTTAATTTTTTTTCACGATGATATTTAATATTTATTTAACTTTATTAAGGCGATAGTGGTCTCGAATATAACTAAATATTTTTACTCTACGAGTTGTTTTAATTTCAAAAATACTATCAAAGTTAGAAAAAGTTAGTCGACGTTTTCTTAAAAATACGCAATTCTATTTGAAAAATGGATGAAATTCGATAAGTACTCGTGCTGGTTAGTTTTGCCTCACAATCGGCGTGTCCGTTTCTTTAGAATTATCAAAAAAGTGTCAAAGTTTTGGTCCACGTTATAGCCAAAATTCGTGAATCGATTTTAAAAATTCAATTCACGAAGGTACTATTTGAGAATTTGAGAATCGTGCTGATTAGTTTTTGTCAGTGATCGGTCGAGTCGTTCCTCAGTTGTTGATTAACATTTTTCTGGCGTTTTTGGATCCTCTTTTTAATGAACATACTACAAATTTGTTTCTTGTTCAATAATATGTAATTTCTAAACGATTTGTAAAAAAATAACTAACTTGTTTAGAAAATTTGTACAAAATTGAATAATCTGCGATAGTTTTGCACATTAATAATTACCAATAATAAGGTCGTTTTTAAACTTTGCGGACTTTCAACAATGCCGCAAATTAATTCAGCGGACTTTAAGTTTGGCCGCCTTTTAATCCAGAGGTATATTAACTTGGCCGCCTTTTAATTCAGTGGACTTTTAATACGACCGTTTTTTATTACGGCCGCCTTTAAAATTGATCTTTTTTTATTCGGCCGCCTGCGTGCGGTGCACGCACTGCACGCTGGCCAGACACGGCCCTGCGCATTACGGGCATGGCCCGGTATGGTAATCGCAAGCATTAAAAATTATTTATTTATACGAAACTATAAAACACAACATTATTTTTATTTTTGTGATAAACTGTTCACTGTGTGGGAAAGTAGTCACGAACAATTTTTTCCCTACATTTTTGAATGTAATTTGTAAGTTAAAGGGTTAATGACAACAATAGTTCATGGCGCAAATTTTTATTAAATGAAAAGAACATAAAGAAAATAAGTAAAAAGTAATTAGTTTACTGTCTTATATCCATTCATTTTTTCTTTCTTTTTTTGACAAATTTTTGGGATAAAAAACAAAGTTGCTCTAATTCTACTAATATTTAAAAAACACATTTATTATAACTTTAATAAATCGCCACTAAATTTTTAGACCCCTCCGACTACTACTACATTTATCATAGTTTTGAAGTATATTGTTTGTTCGTGTGTTTGAAAAGATTTATTTATTCAATAATGTGGTAGACCATTGGGCCATTTCTTTTTTAGTCATCTTGTTAGACTGGCCAGTATTTTGATGATTTGATTTGTATGCTATTGTAATTTGTTGATGTGAGATATGCTTCTTATTTTTATATATTCCGCAACAGTTGGAATGTTCAGTTTTTTGTGGAGGCAGGTGTTGTAAATGTGAAGATATTTACTATTATTATTAAATGTCTTCAATAAATTGACAGATTATAATTTTCATATTCATATTTATATGTGTATATCTTTAAATATTGTTATAAATAAAATTACAGCGAAAGCAGTGTGAAAAACTGTGATAGTACTCAAGAACACTGCAGTCAGCCACTGCCAGCACGTGTAGTCCACGAAAAAACGTTCGACATAAGATCCAGGTTTGATTTTTACTTGAATTTACAAAAGCTTTAAATTATTTCTAAAAATGTTACACATATTCCACCAAATTTTTATTTTGGATGGCTCATCGATGACTTCACAGCATCGGGCCTGGTTATTTTTTTACTGAAAACTATCTATTTTATTTCTATTTATTTACCATATTTAAAGATTCTTACTTTCACAAGTTTTATGAAAATTATTAGTTACATTCTATTAGCATAAAATTAAGATTTTTAATTATTATAAATTCAACTAATACATAAATCGCAGCGTTCCATGCCATGTTGATTGTTTCCCAATAAGAATATAATGCATATACTTATATATGCATTTATTTTTGACTATTGTTTCATTTATATATTGTATCCTTATTAGTCAACCAACATCAAAATCATCTCAATTGGGTACACCAAAATTAAAACCTACAAAAAGGTCGGTCTTACCAGATATTGATGAGTTCAATTTCACCAAACGCAGTTCAACAACTATAAGGTATGTTAATACTCCTTTTTCATGAAATAAGTTTAAAATTCAATATTTAATATACAGTGTATTTTATTAAATACTTATAATTGAAAAATATTGATAATTTAATTTTTGGTTTCATATATTTTTTTGTTTATTTAGTAGGGGACCAGAAACTGTACAATCTAACGCAGATCAGCGGGAAGAAAATCTTAGTACAGATGATGAGGTAACTATTAAATTAAAATACTAATTACTCACAATTTTAATATATTTTTTTATATTTTTTTGAATTGTTATTATTGTCTATAATTTAAATTTAGAGATAGATATAAAGCTTTTTAGATGAACCGACTAAACAATATATATTATCTATTTTTTTTTTATTGATAAAGAACAGTCTAATAGTTGACTCAATACTAAATATCTCTCATACTTGTTGGAGAAACTTCAGCTACATCTTACGTTATTGAAGAGATATTATTTTCTTTAAATTTTTCATAATCCAATTTATTTTACCTAAAATTCTGGTTCAGTAACTTGAGATACAAGGAGTTTTAGCTTTTTACGAATCATCTATATCATTATACTCAGATCGTACTGTCGGTGTTCTGGAAAAGTGGAAAGTTAGGCGCAGCTTATTTGAACCTCACAACTAGAGAGTTGTTTACAATGCAGGATACTGTGGACTACAGTCCTGAGTTTCGTTATTTGCAATGTTTATATTATCAGGTGATCAAATATCAAACATCTTATATGTTTAGTTTTATTATATACTTTACAACTTAAAATTAATACATTTCAATTTTTTGCAGGATGATGAAAAGTTTATCTATATCATTCTTATTTTATTATTTACTTGTTTGCAGGTGCGACCTATGACAGTATTATCGGGCTTCAATTTACCACAACCTTTTATTCAAACCCTAAAAACTTTAACGTTTAGCGAACCTAGCAGCAATTTGTCATCATCTGATGTTCAACATACTTGTCTGCTTCAGTTGCTAAGATCACGAGAATGCAGTAAGAATAATTAATTTTTTATCTTCTTGTAGCAATATGTTTGCAAGTGAAAATAGCCGTCACCCGGCATTGCTGCACCAATGAAAATATTCGCCCTATTACAGAAATTGTAATACTAATATATCGTATAGAGATGTGACAACTGATTGGGTTGCCATATGTTAAACAGACTAATATTAAATCCAAATTAGCACAACAGCTTTTAGAACTATTAAATTCTGATTGCTGTTCAAAATTTTTAAGAAAATGTGCAAATTTTTTTTTGTTTGGTGCATCAAATGTTAGAGCTGATTCTTATAGTATTTTTTGCGCTGATTTCGAATTTGCGTCACAGCTCTAGTTTGGAACTTAGAAAAAAGTTGCCGAAACCAGGTCCATTCTAGGTCGTCACGGAAAAGAACTTTTCACAGTGTCAACTAATGTCCCAACTAAGGCCGATTGGGTCTTGTAAGTTTGTATGTACGAGTGGGCATATCTCATTAAAATAAAATTCTGAATTGTATTACTATTTTGTACTTTCATTCCTTATATATCATATCTTGAAAACTAAAGCTCATAGAAAAAAATCAATTTTTGAAATCAGCGTCCCAAATATACTTAAAACAGCTTTAAAATCGTTTGCACCATTTTCTTTGTTGGCCTGTAATGCAAAGAAATTGAAAACTGTACATGGTTAACTCATTGTCAGTATAATTTATACATCACATTTTAAAATTTTAAATGCTTAATTTTTTTTAATTCTTAAGCTTCAAAATTATTGAAACGTAATGCAAAGTTAATTTTCAAAATATTGGTTTTATTAATTAAAATTTGATCACATTATGGCAGTCTGTCGTTGCGCAGTCTGTCGTTGCGCAATGCCACGTAGCAATGGTTAAGTTAATTGAATAAGTATAAATAAATTTTAAAAATACTAAGAAACATTTTAAAATATTGCTTATAATTTTTTTGTTATTAGATCTTCAAGCTTGCACAGCTAATGTGATGAACATAGAGCTAGATTGTTGCCCGGCGGATTTGTCTCAGCCCGAACGTCGCGCCTATTTGGAGGCGTGCGTTCCACATCATTCGGAACAAGCTATGATATCTTTGGGAGTTCTTGTTTCTTATGCAGAAACACACTATAGGCAAATAAGGGCAGGCTACAGTAGCCTTAAAATTATCACATTGTAAGTGAACATATTTTTCATAAAGGAGTATAAGTCATTTTAAATGAGTTTCATCAAAATGTTAGTTTGTTAATGTTAGAACTATGAGTATTTCGAACTAAATCTCTAAAGCAATTCCGTGTTTTAAATAAATTCATAAATAAATTATACTATATTTCATATTGTAACTTAATGTACTATATATGTCTTATTTTTGAAAGAGAAGATCAATTGCTGGTTGACAATGACACGCTTCAAGGCTTAAAAATATTTCACGAGACGCCGCATCCAGCCAAAAATCAGTTTGGAGTCCGTGGCACAGCTAGAGAAGGTCTAAGCATTTTTGCTATCTTCAATCAATGCAAATCAACTATAGGTTCTAAGAGAATGAGGTAATATTTATCAAAAAGTTAGCAGTGAGACCAATATCAGTTGTTTACATTTTGTGCGAAAAGTTTTAACACAGATGATATTAAGTATATTCGCTTGCCAATTAATGTAGTGTGCATGTGTATATGTTTAGTTAAAACTTTTTTTCTATATCACGGATTAATCCATTTGAATGATTCATAAAACATGCTTTTAGTTGGTATTGACAATGATAACAACTCTTATTTCTGGTTTAAACGAAAAAAATACATAAACAAGTTTATTTGCTTACCATACTTAAAGTTTTGATTGACAAAAACAAATTGCTTACCAAAGATGAACATTTTACAAATGCACTCCAAATTTTCATTTATACAGATTTTAACATACGCTGTCAACAAATTTAGGTTTTAGAACCAACTAGAAGTCCTATTTTAAATTAACTCATAAATTTTCGAACTTTTGATAAATTTTGGCAATAAATAAACAATTATATCTTTATACAAAACTTGTTGTTTAGTTGAATTTGTATAATTATAATAAAAATTAAAATTAGTTTTTAGACATTTTATTATTATCTCAATATTAAACTACTTGTATGATTTTTGTAATTGAATCTAATACTTATTTTTACTAAAAGATTCAAATCATAAAAGAAATGTGTTAATTTGAAGAAGAATTAATTAGATGTTCATGAATTAATGTCATGTTCTATGTAATTGCGGGCACACTTGTTAAATTATTTTATCAATACATTATATTTTATACAAACTAAATATAATATAACATATTTTTTTTATTATAAAAGTATGTTTTTTTTATAAAAAATCAAATTATATTTTTAGATGTTTATTACAACAACCATCCAGAGTAAAAGAAGTTCTTGAAGCTCGCTTAGACAATATAACATGGTGTTTAAATCCACGAAATACCGCAATTATTAATTCTTTAATTAAGTGCATTACATCTATTTACAATATATCAGTGAGTAATTATAAAATATTATATTTAAAATGCTGTATATATAATAATATTCAGAAGATTTTATTAATTAGATAATTATGACAAGAATCGAATTAGATAAGGCTTCATACACTGAATGGAGAACGCTATATAATGTGAGTTCAATATAAATTTTATTCTTTTATAAAAATATGTATAAATATATACACAATTTTATTTTTCTTAAAAAAATATTTATAATTTTTTTTATTTTAAGACAATGCGATCTGCAGCAGTGATTTGCGAAATTTGTAACGAACAGGCTCAAAACGAGGATTGTCCTCCAATCATTAGGGCAATATCTAATGAAATGATTGAAAACCCAATGGTACATGAGGTAATTCAATTACTTATTATTAATTATTTTAGTTTCCATTTTAAGCCGTCAATCGATTGATATTATTCCATAGGTTACAATGGTGTTAAATCGTACGTTAGATCTAGAAGAAACCATAAATAAGAAAGTGTTTAGTGTCAAGACTGGAATTTGTGAGCAACTTGATGAGCGTGAGTTATAATATTTGATAAATTTTCCCTATTGCTTACAAATTTAACTATTATACTAATTACATGTTTTAGGTCTTCTTTATTTAGCAGGACAAAAGTCAGTAATAGATGAAGCGGCTAGAATTGAGGTAGAATTGTTACCAGACTTTATAACCAGTTGCAATATCGCGTGTCTTCCTGAAATTGGGTATTTCTTAACAATACCTCATATTCCAGGAATAAGTCCACAACTTGACAATTTGGAACAATATAATTTACAATTTAAAGTAAGTGTTACTTTTTTTAATTTTTTTTTTATGTTTTATCTTTTTCTAATTATATTATTTCATTTGCAGTTTATTAATAATAATTTCCGCTACTACAAAAGTGAAGGATGTCTGCGTAAGTACTTTTAACATTATGTCAAATACAAAATTATGTATGAAATCATTTTTGATAAAAAGATAATATAATGTAATTATAGACACACTGTGCAAAATATTAAAAAAAACTAGTTGGTTTGGTATTTAGCCTTGAGGCAAATTACATGAACTTCCCGATATGTGTAAATAATCGACTTCATCAAAAAAATGTGTAAATAATATACTTCATCAATCCTACTTTAAAAAAAACGATAATAATTTTAGCAAAGTTTGACGAATTTTTAAAATTAAACTACTTGTTGTAAGGCCGTAATATTACAGTAAGTTCTATAACACCATGATGTATATCGCCAAAAAAAGTTCCATGAAAAACGGCTTAATTTTTTTTTTAACAGTTAATTACAAGAAAACGTCTCGGTAGATTTTCACCTAAAATTAATCAGTACCATTCCCAACTAATATCTTTCGAACAGTTTTTGATTTTTCAAAATCGGTTCGGTAGGATGAGCTTAAATGTGGACGAAAATTTAACACTTTTTTTCAACAGTTAATAAAAAGAAAACGGCTCGGTAGATTTTCACCTAAAATTAATCAGCATCATTCCCAAATGATATCTTTCGAACAGTTTTTGATTTTTTAAAATCGGTTCGGTAGGATGAGCTTAAATGTGGACGAAAATTTAACACTTTTTTTCAACAGTTGATTAAAAAAAAACGGCTCGGTAGATTTTCACCTAAAATTAATCAGCATCATTCCCAAATGATATCTTTCGAACAGTTTTTGATTTTTTAAAATCGGTTCGGTAGGATGAGCTTAAATGTGGACGAAAAGTTCAACACTTTTTTTCAAATTACGAAGAAACGGCTTGGCAGATCGTTGCACAAAACTGACAAACGATAGTCCTCACCGAAATACATCAAATGGCTTTTAAATTTCTAAAATCGGTTCAGGCGTTTTTGAGAAAACGTCGATCAAAAGTCTAATTTTGACAAATGCCAAAAAGACCATACTGATTTTTGCAAACTTTGACGAATTTTTAAAGCTGAACCAGTTGTCGTAGGGCCGTAATATTTTAGTATGACCTAGAAAACTATGGTATCTTTCGTCAAAAAAATAATCATAAAAATCGCCAAAAATTTTTTTTTAAAAACTTTATTACAAGAAAACGGCCCGGCCGATCTTTACCAAAAACTAATCAGCACGATTCCCAACCAATATCTATCGAACGGTTTTTGAATTTTCAGAATCGATTCAGAATTGCGAGCTAAAACGTGGACGAAAAATTTTTCACTTTTCTGCAATTCACAAAGAAACGGCCCGGCCGATCGCCGCACAAAACTCAGAGACGATAGTCCTCATCGAGATACATCAAATGGCTTTTAAATTATTGAAATCGGTCCAACCGTTTTGGAGAAAACGTCGATTTACGGCAAAAAATCTGTTCACACACACACACACACACACATACAGACACACACACACACACACACACACATACTTTTTCCAAATTTGGTCTCATTCGATTCAGAATGGCTCGAAACGTCGAGAAAACATAAAATTAGCGATTCGGATTTTTTGATGAAAACATAAACTTCTCCTTCGGGAAGTTAAAACTAAAATAATAATAATTATTGTTATAATAATAATAATATTTATTATTGCAGTATTGGATGAAAGGTTTGGCGCTGTCCATAGAGAAATTTTAGCAATTACGGCAAAGATAAAATCGGATTTAGTAAAATACATATCTGTACGGAAACATATTGTTCAAAAAACTATCATGCTGTGTGCAGAACTTGATTGGTAATTAACGCTTATCTAGATTTATATTTTTACTGAATAAAATATTTGACTTTTAACGCAGACCGCCCGGTTAGAGGTGTGATGTAAAGCAAATACTAGTTGACTTGTACAGTTTTATAAATCTATTATACAACAAATCATTGATGTAATTGTTTTGACAATAATGATATTTACTTTATTTCATTACAAAATTCTTCTATACTATTTACAGAATTATAGTAAATTGAGAAATGATAATCTAAATTAAATTAACTAATCTGCTGTGATTGTTTTAATGACTTATATGATGTATCGTTAAAATATCGATGAGTTTTATTCCCTGATCCTGACAAATCCGTCGTAATATTTGATACTATTTGAGCTATACTTCTTTACAGTATGATAACAATGGCAAAAGTAGCTCGGGAGTTCACATATGTTCGTCCTGAGATAGTTTCAGATGTGTGTATAGAGATCAAAGGCGGTCGCCATCCTTTGCAGGAACTCTGCACAAATCAGTTTACGCCCAATGACACACATTGCTCTAAAACCGAAGGTTTAGTGAAGATTATCACAGGCCCAAACGCCAGTGGAAAAAGTGTGTATTTGAAACAGGTTCGATAAATTATGATATTATTTCCATTGGTATTTAAATGTTTTTATATGGCTTTAATTGTTTGTATATATAATCATTTTTACTCGAGGAAAAATTCAAGGAAGCAAGATCCTAATTATTAGCAAAACGCGATTAGCAAAACGCGATTAGCAAAACGCAGTCAAGTTGAATATATTGTTCTACTATACTCGTTTATTTATACTGAACTTAGTACAAATACAGAAATTGAAATCTGATATGTTGAAATTGATCTACTATTTTTTGCAATCCGAGTTGAAGTCTACAAAATTCTAATCCTTTAATTACCAAATTGATGATTTTCAAAAATATTATTATTGACATCATGAGAAATATATTTTTTCTAAAAGACTCAAACAATTGCAGAATATTACTCATTAGTTAAATAATTAGTCAATTTTAAGATAATATTTGGATTTAATCTGCTTATCATTTTTAATCTCACCAGTTTTGTATCAAATCGTATTTTCCAAATGTTAGTAAATTAGTTAAATGGCTGAATTATGATCATCAGCTTGTGTTGATCATTTGGTTCTTATACTCTTCTAATGTATTACTGCATATATTCGACAGTAAATTATGATAGTGTTATAATTTAAAAATGTAAAAAATAAAAACTAGTAAAAATAAATTAAGTGAAATTTATTCCTTTTACAGGTTGCGTTGATCGTATACTTGGCTCATGTGGGGAGTTATGTCCCAGCAGAATTTGCCAAAATTGGAGTTTTTCATGCACTACATTCTAGAATACGTTCCATATATATTTCTGCAAGAAAAATGAGCGATTTTCAAATAGATTTGAGCCAGGTGAGTGTAATATAAATAGTTTTATAATTAGTTCTACATTTTACATAATGTTTGTGAAAATTTTTATGACACGCAACAATCATGTTGATGCATTATTAATTGTATCAATTTAATATTTTATTGGTTTTCGATTCAAAACCATTTTTTGTCGAGACAATACAAATGGATTTATTGAATTTCTTGAATGAATATTACAGAGTATAGAGGTTAGAGAATGTTATCATCAATATTATCTAAAAAAAAAACACTGCCAAATTTTCTACAGCATAACTCGGTTGAAAATTGTTACAATATTTTTCTCAGTTTCATTCAAATCAATTATTTTTTATCGAGCAGATGTCATTGGCAATAAGTTCACCTGCGCGGTCTTTACTTGTAATCGATGAATTCGGCAAAGGCACATCTGTTTTGTGTGGAAGAGCTTTACTTCAGTCATCCTTGCAAGATTTACTTAACAGAGGAGAAAACTGTCCAATAACTTTGGTTACTACACATCTTAAAATAGATCTTGAAGATTTGCACAACCGCGAATATCTGCGAGCTGAGGTACGTGATATACTTTGATATGAGTAATATACACCTAAGTCTGTTTTTACACGGTCTTTTTGTACACGGTTTTGATATAACACGGTTTGAAAATTGAGTATTTTTAATTTTTTTACACGATTTTATTCCATTTAGCACGATTCGAAATTTTATGTACTTAAATTTTTTTTGTCAAATTTAATTTTTGCGAAGTATGTTCATATCACAAAAAAGTATTTATGATAGAAAAAAGTCTGAAACCATCGATAGTATCGATAGTTTGCGAACACTAGCTTAAAGATTTAAGTGAATTTACCTTTAGCGCGTACAAACAATTTTTACTGGTCAAAGCAAATGTGAGTAGCACTAATTTAGGGGAATTATTATTAAAATAAACATGAATTCTTGTTCTTGAAAATTCTTGTTTTTCACTAATTTTAATAGGTTTTAGAGATTAGGAACAAATCACCCATTTTTGTATAAGATCAATGTCTTTTTTTACACGTTTTTTTTTACACGGCTTCTTCTGGAACCAATCTACCGTGTAAAAACAGACTTAGGTGTATATATATATATATATATATATATATATATATATATATAACCCATAGAAACGTAAAATTTGTACTTATTATTAAAATCTATATAAAATATGTGATATTCAGATTTGCATATGTTTAATAATTATTTTTGCCCGACAAATGGTTTTTTTTACTTTTTTCACTAGATCTCCAAAACCTCACATCTGCATTTTGTGAATATAAATAAAATGTTTTTTAAATTAATGAAATCTAACAAATACTGAATTACCATCTTTGGTACTTTTAGCCTTGTGTCTTCGAAACGGCTGGAAGATGCATTAAAATATATTTATATTTCTGTACTATATAGAAAACGTCAATGTTTTTCTTACATTTTTAAGTTTCAAATCGTCTATGTGTGAGTATGTGTGCTCGGATACAATTTTTTGATACATGTTCACTTTTATTTTCAGTTATATAAATTAGCTTCAGAAAAATTTACCCGAGACGTTATTTTAGCGTTTATTACTATTTATGCGTTTATTATGCAAACTCCTTGCAGGCATTTGACGATATTATACAAAATACATGCAAATTCATTTACATAGCTGGAATGTGTTCGTCAGTGAGTTTGTATAGGCGATTTGCGTTCAATGACTGCGGTGTTGGCACATTAGATTTCTTATGGAATAGTATTAGAAGAAGGTATGCTTGAAAAGACAATGTTGCCTCGATGGTCTCTGCTCATATTCAAGGATAATGTTGAAAAATCTTTGTTTTCATTAAATTTAATATCGGTAATGCCTAAATTGCATGGTATAAAATATTTCCCCTAATTTATGACGCATTTATCCTTTTGTTTGAAGTTTGATGCTCCGTAGCTACTCTACTTAATATACTATATAATTTTATACAACAGTTCTTTAAAATTCGTTACGGTAAAATAGTATTTATATTTATAAGTACTAGTTGAATTAGGTCTAACTATCCATCCAATTTTAACCAATAACTTGAAAACAAAAGTAATCTGGTTTGATATTAACAATAAGAAATATTAGGGGTGACTGAGTAATTTCGTGCTATTTTTTTTAACAGTAGTAATTCCAGTTAGCTGGTGGAAAAATAAATTAAATGATAAGTTGAGCATTTGTCTTAACTAATGAGAACTTGTTCGAACAATTATACTTCATCTTTCTCCTTTTGTACTCTATCTCAAAATTAGTATAGTTTAGCTATAATGACGACTGTCACTGCCGTATCTTGACACTACCGTACCCAAACTTCTCTACTATCATGAAATTCCATTGAAGCTGTAAAATAGCAATTGAACTCTATTGCTAATTTATAATTATGATACATCTCAACTTTATATTGTTTTATTTTATTTTCGTTTATGTATGGAATATTAATAGATATCAGTATACATATCATTAATATCCCTGTACATATCATTAATTATCTATAACAAACCGACATTAGTTATTTCATCAATTTTGACTCCATACTTTATTTGATTTGATGCATCATAAACTGAGATTGCCTGGGCAAGATTTAATTATTGCACTGAAATAGTGAATTTTTAGTACTTCAAATATTTATAAATTTTATCAAGTATGATTTATCAGTTTAAAATCTATTTTATGTACACATGTGCAATTTAATATGATGGGCGCCTGAAATACACCTTTCGAGTTACCACCTGTGGCGGGTTCAGTCAGTCAGTAGTAAAAGAGTTAGTTTCTCTCTATCAGTCTTCACGTAAACCAAATCTATCACTGCGCTTTAGTGGTCTTTGAACAACATCTTTCTCATTCTGTGCCTTCTAATCCAGTAGTTTTCAATTGTAATTTATTTCTGGAATTTATATGAATTGCAATAATTTATAATATTATCGATCTAGTTTCAATCGAGCAGATTCAATACTAAACCATCCTTTGATAAAGCAAGTGTTGGATTTATGTGTATTTGGATATATCATCATACTATAATTATTTTACTAGTTTGTTTTAGAAGTTTAGGATTAAACTCAAGGGACAAATAAAATAGAACTCCAAAGTAATACCAGAGTAGTATTTTAGAAAACTCATATTAGGCAAACTATTAACCGAGTTATACTTTGTATCTATTCTAACCAAATAAAATAGATCTCCAAAGTCATATCAGAGTAGAATTTTAGAAAGTTCACAATGAGCAAAGAGTTAAACGAGTTACATTTTGTATCTATTCTAACCATTGGATTCTACGTATTTTTTTATTCCTTGAAAAAGGACTTTCAATAAATAAAACTGTCATTATTGCAACATTAAGGCTTGTCATTTTATTTTTTTAAATTAATTAAACTTTTTATTTTGTATTTTAATAACTAATTCAGGTTTTATTATTTAAATCAATTTTTGAGTTATGGCTAAGGTAATGACGAGTAACGTAGTTGAGTTTAATCAGTCTGTTTTGTTATTATATTTATACCATATGGAATTTACAAAAAATATTTCGCTTTTGAGAAAAGCGTTGAGTTTTGTGAAACTAAAATTAAAATAAAATTTTTAAAGCTAGTTTTCTCATGCCAGGTACATAAATTGTACTAATCTTTGTTACCATTTGGTCTTCGTTTATTTAAATCGGTATATCATCTATTTTATTTGTCAATAATTTATGAACTTAATATTTTGCCATGAGATCGACTGACTTATAATTTTTAATACATTTTTTTTATTAAGTCTTTCTAATTGCCATGATATGACAACAGTGGCTTCTCTGTCAAATCTTGTTTTATAGTTGTTTATATATAAATGCATATAGTATGATAATTTACATCAAAACTTTGTACACTTTGTGTTATATATTTAGATTTTTTGAGCTTTATTTTGTTCAACTTCAAAAAATATATATGTTAAATATATATTATAAAATGTGATGAAGAATTTGCAGCTTCAATCTTATTTTATTTTAACACATAGTATGGACGAGTTATAAACACATTCGTGAGTCCTTAATTTTATGAAACGAAGTAAAATTTAGAGCAAAAGGTTATTTGGAATTCGTTGTATCATAATGTCATGTAATAATGTATAATTGTGAGCATAAGATTTAGGAAGCTAGGGAAACAACGTGAACAACTTTTCAACAAATTTTATTTCAGAGACAAAGATTTAATGATTATTGCATCATAGAGCATTTGCTACTTCCAGTGCACATGTGTCTAATTTATATACAACTTTTTTGAAAAGGTACTAACGTGGTAAAAGTATTTTTACTAGTTATTTTCGTACCCATGAGGTAATCAAATGGATCTTGAATAATACTGCGACACTTCAAGCATACCTTTAAAAGTAATTTCTTTGCTATGCTAATATAAATTAACTGGTTAGTTATGTCCTTCATTTACTTCAATGGCACTTAAAAGGAAATCGAAACCATTTACTAGAGAACTAATTATTTTCTAATCATAGTTTAAAGACCGCTGCCTGATTCTGAACACTTCTTGAGCTCTGCCCAAGTTCAGGCAGCTCTTGCAAGTTCTTCTCCGCGATTCGCTTTTGTGCGCGATTTTCGCTATCCGCAGTTTTGTTTTTTCTGTTGGGGAACTGACTCCTCACATAGTCGGACAGCTGATATTTATTTTGGAATAATTACAAAGTAGGATTTATTCGATTTTGGGCTTACTTTTTGAAAATGGTTGTGATCTTGTACGATTACAATGAAATTCATGTTTTTAGATGAAACAATGATATCATTATGATTAGCTTTTCTTTTCAATTAGAATTTTATAAAACATTTATATATAAATATATATTGGGCAAAAGAAAAAAAATCGTGGCGCTTTTTTAGTGAAACTCAATATGATATCTTATAGCGTGGAAGTAAATTTATTTTAACCCTAAATTTAAATTTAAATAAAAGTAAATTTTTTCACCTTCGAACGGTCGGAAAGGTCTGACTGGACCACCATTCATTTTACATGCATTTATATGGAATAAATGTGTTTTTGGTGTCTTATATATTAACGATTATTAGTAGTAAATATTTATAGTTTTAATTTTTTCTTTTTCTTACCGTCTTTGCATGTGTTGAGCTTGCTTATAATAAAAATATTACATATTATATTATATAAACAAATCAAGAAATATAAAAAAATCGTTGCTTTTTTGTTAATTTTTATGTTTTATATTAATGTAAAACAATATTTATTCTTTTTCGGCGCCTTTGAAATGATTGTGAAATTTAAATGAAAACGAAATGAGGTGCATCGCCTTTCAAATGAGCTGTAAAACTCAAAGTGAAAATATAATTTCACTACGGGTTTGCAAAAAAAATCGAACGCAGTACGGGTAGAAAAATTGTTGATAATGTGTGCATTACTCATCCGATTTTCAGTGTTTGCGATTACCAATAAGTTTGGTAGGTTTTCAAGGAACTCTCGTTATGAAAATATTAACATTCATGTTACAACACATAGCAAAGAATATATACAACGCAGTTTGAATAGATAATACCATAAAA